TTGTTGGGTCGGATTTCCCTGCCGTGCGTGTCTTGTTTCTTCTGTTTGTAGTAGTATAGAAGAGCTCATGTGTCAGTCAATGTTGCAACGTATAAGCCATTCATCGGACGCCATTACGGACGCTGTCGGCGTTTTGCTGGTCGAGCCGCGTCTACTCTGTTGTCTTTTACATGCAGGAACCATCTTGATCAGACACAATGGCGTCCGGTCTATGCGTGCCATGGATCCTCACCGAGAGTGTAAATGCAAAATGTTTATTACGAGCGTACAATATGGAATGGCAAAACTTGGCAATGAGACATCTACCGATAGCAAGCAATGTGGCGAAGCGGACGATCCCAGGACATACTGTAGTAGCGCCATTCACCATTTTTGCATATCAGCTGACTGTTGCCTTTGACCCAGTCAGCACGCACTGTAATAGTGAGATGGACTATGGTGAAGTCAGCATAGCAACAAAGTGCTCCCAATTTTAGAATCATTTTTCAAAGAATTAGATACGGACGCAACATCATAAACGTCATCATCATTCGAGCATTTAGGAATATCTAAGCAAGAACTCACAGTTGTCCATATCACCACGCCCATCGTTAAAACTAATTTTCACTAAGTAAGAGTCCGGACAGTTTAGCAAAGCATCATACAAGCCAGTCGTGGTATATTCGACTGCCTACAAAAGATGTAGTTTAGGGAACTTTCTGGAAACGTTGATGTATTTACTTACATTGTAATCCGTATAACAATCTCGTCCTGGCACTATACCGCAGTTGTAGAGATTTCGGGGGCACGTTTTAGTGTACGGAGGTCGAGGACTGGTGTTTTCGATAGCAGGGCAGATTTCATCAATAGCCAGAACGAGCAGAAGGCGCGCAAACATTACAGGCAACTGTGATATAAAGAAATTACTAAGCTTGAATTGATGAGCGAAGCTTACTTCCTGATGAAGACGTGTTTGATGCGTATAATTCTTTTTCAAATTTACATTGTGGGCAGCTAAGATTGTGACTTGAAGAAGTGTTTGGTGAAGCAAATTGGTTGACATTATAAAATTAACGTAGCATAGTGGGCTTCCGCGACTAAACTACGACATTTTCTCATGCGCAACTCACGTATAAGGCAAAAGGATCGAATAATACTGCTAAACTATAAGGATGGCCCTAAGCTTCGTGCCGTTTCTCAGACCTATCCTCAAATTCAATGCTCGTTCATACTACGCCTCAGGCTACGACAGGCTGCAGCGCAGTATGAAAGAAACCTCAAATAAGGGTTGGACCAGACTTCGCTGGGAAAGCGGCGTACGCGG